CATCCATCCCTCTGTGTGTAAGGATGATACGTGTACACAGCTACACCTTTGTCGTTTGTTTGCCGCGGGTATGTGTCCGTATGATGAAAAATGTTCAAGTGGACACGAGCCTTGCAGTTCCGCGCACAACATCAGTGTGCTGGAACGCCACATGTGTCATGGTGTTTCGGAGAGCGATGTTCTGGAAGGTGTCCGGAAGGGATATCTGACCCGACATCCGATCATGGTTGCGGAACGTCAGCTCGCTCTTCAGATGTGTCGCCCGTACCAGTCTGCAAGCTGCAGCCGATCGGACTGTGCTCGACTTCACATCTGCACGAAGTACGTGAATGGAACCTGCAAAGACCATTATAGGTGTGTGCTGTCGCACGACCTAGGTACGGCTGCTAACGCTGAAATCGTGAAGCGTGTTGGTCTAGAGTCTCTCCCGAGGGACTATCTCTGGAGCATACTGGCATGCCCCGTGCTTCCGAAAGATGTGCATCGTGCCCTGACTGCTGGTTCAGACGACGTGGGCCTTGAATGGCTAAGCGATATCCTGCAGTCCAGGCCACTTGGCTGTGATCCGCACCTGAGCGGTCTTTCTTCGTCATGCCAATGGGCGCTAATCACACAAACACTCGCCATCTGTCAGACTCGACAGCTGTTCTCGATCCACCTCAGTCAAAATCGGCGACAAAAGAAGGCACGCCGCGAGCAACATCTGATGGACATTCTCGGGAGACTACCATGAGAGTCGCAACCTCCATAGACGTCTGTCATGCACATGTTCGCCCAAGTGGCTGTCATGACGATGAATGTCACGAGCTGCATGTGTGTCGCTTATTCATCGCTGGTGTGTGCCCGTATGGAGAGGAGTGTGGACGAGGACACAAAGTGCGCACACTTAAGCACAACAAAGATCTTCTACAGCACGTGACATCCCAGATATCTGTGAAGCGGATCTCCTGAGCTATCTCCGATCAGGATACCTTGCTCGAATCCGCTGACAGAGGATGAACGTCACTCCGCACTCGAGGTGTGCTGTCTCTACCAAATGGGAAACTGCCAGAACACAAAGTGCCCCCGGCTCCATATATGCAATGAATATGCGATGGGCAAGTGCATGCGTCGATGTGGACTCTCCCATCAGATCAGCTCTCCTTCACATGCAGTGATTATGAGACGACTCGGTCTTGCATCCATGCATGTAAGGAACGTCCTAAGAATCTTCCAAAAACGTCTTGAGTCGCAGCAGTCCGAAGAGCGGGATGATCGGGTGTGCGGCTCATTTCAGGAGCCCTTTTCAAGAGCCGTTGCCGATAGTGATTCGAAGGGCAAAGATCCCGACGCTGTGACTTCAGAGCTCAACTCCGCGAACACTACCAGCGGTGAGGGATCGGAGCTTCTGTGTGATGTACACTCCTCTGGCAATCGGTGTATCAACGTGAACTGCTACAAATTCCACCTGTGTGGCTACTACCTGGCCGATGCTTGCAAACGCCCAAGTGAGTCATGTCCTCTTGGACATGACTTTCAAACGAAGCATAACGTGCGAGTGATGCAGCACTTGGGGATGGTGAAAGGCTCCCTCGAAGAGTTGCAAGCAATAATCGACCAGATTACGCTCCAGGCGCGCATCACATTCAATAACGGGGCTCACAAGAAAGTGAAGCTGTGTATTCCTTACAGCTCACCGAGGGGCTGTAGCAGATCGGTCAACTGCAAAAGCTTCCACGTCTGTCACGATTTTGTTGTCGGTAGATGTGTGAAGACTGACTGTGCCCTGCACCACAGCCTTGTCGGCTATCACAACCGCCGTGTCCGTAACGCCATTGGCCTGGCGGCGTCCAACCCCAACAAAGACCCGAACATTATTTGGGCAACAGACAGAGATCTGATTGAACTCATGAGAGCTAAGCTGTCATTGAACCCGGGGGTATACACGATAGATAACACTGAGGCAAGTGGTACCACATACCCCCGCAGAACTGATCAAGGAACAGCTCAGACCTTTACCGGCAACCAAGTATCCCCGACCTTGCCACCTGTTTGCGAACAGTACGGCTCCACCACCGGATGCTTCGATCTGAACTGTGAGATGGTGCATATCTGCCCTCACTTCCTGGCCAGCTCCTGTCGCAGTCGCCGCTGTCGACCTTGTACTCTAGAGCATCGACTGAGTAGCCTACACAACCGCGAGGTGCTGAAAAAGGCTGGATGGCTGGTCACGAGTGAGAATCAAGAGGTTATCATGAAGATGCTCTACGAGTTCTCACCTCATGTTCAGAGGACTGAGGTATATGACAGACTTCGTTTGTGCTCACCTCACAACGGGGAAGGGTGCTGGTCCGCCGACTGCATGTTTATTCACATCTGCCAAAAATACATCGTCGGCACATGCTTGAATGATGGACGGTGCGAGAAGGGGCATTCTGTGGAGGGGGTCGACAACATCAGGAAGCTCATCGCTTTGGGACTTGCAGACGTCTCAGCCGACAAGGTGCTTGAGATGTTGCGTGCAGTTCACGCTGGCCCTTCAGTTTCGCCCAACGCTACCAACTTGGAAAACGGCGACCTGAAGTCAAAGACTGGCGCCTCGAACGATGACCAACTGAGCCAAGATGCCGCTTCAATGCACGCCAGGAGACCCACTATCGATCGAGAATCGCAACTGGCTGGAGAGGCAACTGTGGGGATGTGCTCAGCGTTAAATCAGTCGCAAGGTGACGAAGACGACCCTGCTGCCCAGCACTCGGTCCTTGGTGTCTGTCGTCAGTACAGCACCGCCTCTGGCTGTTCCAACCGCGATTGTGCCTATGTCCACATTTGCCCGCACTTCCTCGCTCGGTCCTGTCGCCGCGGCCAGCGCTGTCAACTGGGACACGATCTCAACAGCGAGCATAATCAAAAGGCTCTACGCGAAGCTCGGGTCGAAGCAGCGTCGTCGGAGGCGCGCGATGAGCTACTTGATATGTTGTACACTATCTCGGCATTCATTCACAGGATCGACGTTTACGAGCAACTGCGTGTCTGTGTGCCGTACAACACAAATGGTGCTGGCTGCCGAAAGCAGAAGTGCGTGTTCCTCCACGTATGCTCTTCCTTTGTGGCCGGCACTTGTAAGAATGAGGTGTGCGAGAAAGATCACCATCTTCGGTCAGCTCGGAACACGACCATGCTTAATGACTTAGGTCTGGCAGCTACATCTTCTTACGAGGTTCTAGAGATGTTGCGGGCCATCCACGCCTGGCGCTCCATGTGTGGTGGGTCTTCCATCGTCGGAGACGTCCCTTCGCTAACCAGTCATTCGCTCTCAGAGCAGATATCGGCGACTTCCAGTGTCGCTTCGGCCGACGAGCGTCCTGTCCTGGTCGTATGTGAAGACTACGGCACTGTTGCGGGCTGCTTTGATCTCCACTGCCGCGATGTGCACATTTGTCCACACTATGTCGCTGGTGCGTGTCGCCGCGCAGATCGATGCGTACTGGGTCACCTACTAAACATCCCGCACAATCTGGAGGCGCTTCGCGATGCCGGATACGAGGCAGCCACGAAATACAACAAGCAACGGATCTTGGAAGAGCTGCACTCTGGCTCGCTGCACATCCCTCAGACGGCAACGTACTTTAGGCTGCGTGTCTGTAACAGTCACATCACTAAACGTGCGGGATGTCAACTCAAAACCTGTACCTTTATTCACATCTGCTCTCATTTCGTTGCGGGCACTTGTAGGAAGTCGGTCTGTCCCAAAGGCCATGATATTGAGACAAGTGAGAACAGGGCGAAGCTGCGTGTCCTTGGACTTGATTATGCATCCTCTGATGGGGTTCTAGAGATGTTGAGGGCTGTTCATGACTGGAAGTCGGCGTGCACTCCGTACGTAGTGTGAGATGGGTCTCAGCAACTCCATGGCTGAAACCTGGAAGTGTCCGTTTCATCTTACTTTTTGACGATTTTGTTGTGCATATGTAGCTGATAGATCAAAACGAGCTAAGCTTCCTTTTGTGTCTGTCGCCTTTTTCGTTAAGAATTGGTCAGCGACCTTGCAATATTAGCCATTGGGTATAAGGGCTGTGTAAATGGTAGGCCAACGTCTGAATCATGGGAAGTGTTTTTTATTATTCCTATCTGTGAGGGACCATTTCGTTTGGCGAGCTGTACCTTGCTGATATACCGCTATGTGGATTCAGTGCGAGTTGTCACTGTGGCCACCTGTGCGGTTTATGTGATTTTCTTTTCTTTATCACATTTGGCATTAGTGGTAGGCTTCTCTTCGTACGGGCCTGTTTTAGCAATGTTTTGAATGAATACAGATTTGAACATTTACCTATTACCTTTTGTTTCGCCTCAGTCTATTTCTTCTCCCTTCGCATCTTGCTACGACCCCTCCTTCACGGATCGTGATGACAGATGACTACTTCGAATCGGAAGTTACAGCAGACCAGCTGAAGGGTTACGAATGCGAGAATAATGTTGAGGAATAGATACGGAAATGATCATGGTGAAGAATACGTTAACGTTGAAGACGTTACACGTTAGCTGCTTTAGCTTTCAGCTGGCTTGAGTAAACTATTTTTCTATAGTTGGGTAGGTATATCCGACTAACGGTAAATGCGCCTGATGATTTACAATAATACCACTCCGTATAGAACATCTGTGTTGGTGTATGTTAATTCTTCTACAAATTCTAAGGTAGTCAAGCGCTTTAAAAGGCTTAGGTTCGGGAACTGGTCGGTAATAATTTTTCGATTTTAGATTCGACATGCATCATGCTAAAGCTCAATCAAATGCACTCAAATGGAGAAATTATAATAGCCCCTATCATTGGCCATCGGGTGTCGGGTGACTAGTTACTCATGCGTGACCCAACGACCTGCAACCGCACTCTGGTTCGTGAAATCTACACCAGACAGTGAGCGCCTAACAAACGTCCTCGGCGCTACGCTGGGGAAACCCTGATGTGTTTGCTTCCCGTCCCTGCCTTCTGAGAGGCCATTCCCCCGCACGCCTTTCGACACACAGGCACACACACGGCCGTCGTTCACTCTCGTAGTATCCAGCCGGGTCCGCACACCTTTCGCCAGCCTCATTGGATCAAAGCCGCCCGTCGCCGCCGGCGCGGGATGCCCCAGCTGGAGGCAGTGGTGACGTCACAGAACGTCCGCCAATCGGCGGCGCGGCTGATGGCCGGCGGGCGACAGGGCACTTATACGGTGCCGGGAGGGTGCCGGCATTCGAGTGTGGATTGGAGAGGTGGAAGGTTGTGAATAGTGCGGCAGAACGCAGACAGCCATGTGGACGACAGCACTCGTAGCGCTGGCTCTGGCTCATGGTAAGTGGTGGGAGTCGGCTGTTCAGCTCACCGGGTCCGGGATATCTAATAGGAATCGCTACCTGCAGACGGCGAGGGTCGTGTGAAAGAGTTGTCGAAGGTTACAAGTCTTGGTCGGCTTTCCTCAACCGGCACGGATAGGATGACGATGTAGCACTGAAAACACTATTCTTGTTGGTTGTTTCAGCATTTTGTGTGGGAGTTAATCTCCGATGATAACCGAGTCGAGGCGATAACTATGTAGATGAACGAAGATCATGATGGGCTGGGCGCCGCGCTGGCCGATTGTCCCGGAACCTACCGAGTTTTCCCGGAACCTACCGAATGAGGTTCCGGAGGAAATTGACCAACAAGAATGCTCGTTTGGGTAAAGCGTGACCTACAAGGCAATGCGGAAGGGGAGAACAGTTGGCAACAGAATGGGGTTCCGTTTCTAGCAGGCAGTGAGTTGCCAGGCTGTGCCGCATCACACGTGTTGAGTAACGCAGGCTGTCCCTGCGACCCTACGCTCACCAAAACACGTTTAGTTGCGTGCTAAACTGCACAACCTAGGTCTTAGCCTTCAGTCAACTTATACAGCTTGTGAGGGGCGGAACATCATTCTGTAGTCAACTGTACAATCAACACAACCAACAATGTGCCTACACTACATATCAACGGCCGGTGTATCACCTTACATTTTGGCCGCTAGATGGCAGTGGCGATTCGCGCCTGAAGTGATGCTGTGCCGCACGTCTCGGATAAGGCCGACGCCCTCCTGGATTTTGGAACTATACTCGCGCCTATCCTAAAGAAGCCCCGCTACCACAGAGGGATGTATGCGTCACTCGATGTTTTTTACCTGTAGCATTACGCCTGTAAGCGTTATAAATCGTGACAGGCGCTACAAAGGCATAAAAGAAAAGGCTTCCGTTTCCCCAACTTAGGTACCTAGCCGTGCATGGGGAGTCATGGGCGGGACCCCTGTCGAATACGTCGTTGATCGTCCAAAAAAGACAGCAGCATAGACTACTAATACAGAAGTCTATGACTATATGATACAGTAGTCTATGACGACAGGAACGGTTAACCTGGTAAACCATTCGGCTCACCTGTCAAATGTGATTATCATGTACAAATTATAATTACAGCGCTTATAGTTTTACGTTGATGTGGTTGCAACTTGCAGGTCATGTCATTCTGGCGAATATTTGTTTACAAAAGATAAAATTGACCACTTAATGCAGCAATGAGGAAGGTTAGTTAAAGTCCTTAAAGGGACCCTCCCACCTTAACATTAGATTTGAGTTGAGATAGCCAAAATGGGGTCCCTGGCTCCAGGGCATATTTTAAGGCACTTACTGCGTCCCATTTTGGGACGCAGCCCCCTCGCCATGGGATGTAGCCCCTGCTTATTTGACCCACTGCGTCCCTGCCCTGTCCGGTTCCCTGACCTGTGCCCTGCTGTCTGCCCTGACCGGTACCCGGCCTTCCCTCTAAAATGTCCTGTGCCATGTCCTGCATCCTGTCGTGCCCTACTTTCTGCCCTCCTCAGTGCCCTACTCTGTTTCTTGCCCTGTGCCCTTAGTCGTAGCACGTGCCCTCTGCTCAACTTTGGGACGCAGTAAAAATTTGTTAAAATATGCCCTGCCTGGCTCACAATTACCGCTTTCGGCACTCACAACATCTAGAAATGCCTTAAATCGGAAATATTGAATTTCAAACTTGCAGCATTTTGATTCAGAGGGGCTAATGCATAGGAATACCCCTCTGAATGTGTGACGTCAGCGCAGATATCTAACGATTTTTAAATGTTTGACTAAAACATTTTGTAGCACGCGGTGGTATATGCTGCTTTGCGCGCAACAAGTGCCGCACTTTCAGCTGCCGAACTATTGCTTCCAAATAAAGTCGCTAGGAACAGCGGAGATCCCAAAAAGTAAACAAAAGTAAAAGTCTAATATCTTGAAAACCGGCGAATACTTTTCGGTGAAATTTGGTAGATATTCGTTTTCGCTCTTTCTGAACCGAGCGACATCACTTTCATGCCAATTCATTAACTTTTTTGAAGGTGGGAGGGTCCCTTTAACGATTAAACCTGCGTGTCGACCAAACGGTAACTACTGAACCCTACCCTACTTTTAGATTTTGTAGTCACGCCTCAAGTAGCAGTGCTCTGTGAATGTTAAACCCCAAAACGTTTTTGTTTGATCTGAACTTTGTGAAACAGTGCACTAGTTTTTGTTAAGTGAGCAACGTTACGTAGGTATTTAACGCGAAATAAGGATAGGTAATTGAAAGGAAAATGTTCCCAAATGTCCTTCGATTTTTATATCCCCTCTATGTATCATTCTTCATTTACGGTTACCTACTTCTAGCAAAAGACATTCCGTCATAAATTGTATTCTAAATGAAATAGTCCTAGATAAATGGTATTTATTGTTACTCGTATCATGTTCTGTTCATTGATTGTGTGTCTTGCACGACGAATTATTCCAATTGTTCACCGGAAGAAAGTTAAAAAGAAAAATCACTCCTCTGTTTAACACAGTTTAGGTCCTAATCAATAGTTTTGTGGCACTTATTGACATAGAAACCCTGGAGAACATGGTTTCAAATGTTATGCATGGTGTGATCTCCACTCAGATCATAGATCCATGTTCTTGATTTATCGTCAGATCGTATGAGATCATAGATCCACGATAAATTTTGTACGCCGGATCCGATGGGATCATAAATCCTAACCTGCAGTTTGCTTCGAGATCCTCGGATCCATGTATATGTCTGTTATTAGGTACCTATGGCTTGGCACAGCACCCAAGTGCTTACCGATCAAGTGAGAGCGCTCGGGGAGCGATATTGTAAAAGATAATCGTATATGCATACGCCAATACGCATGCCTACCATCAAGACCGATGATCGTATGCGTTGTATATTTGAATCACCGATGGTTATTTCTTATTTATTTGTGATGAATGTTAACGCGCTCATTCGATGAAGTCTTTCCCGATTGTAAAACTTTCCTACCACCCGTTTGAAAGACATTTTTGACGGAATATCCTTCCTCCTTTTAAAATGGCTACCGAAACTTCGTCGCACTGCGGTCAGACTCCGCAAAGCGCCGTAATGCATGACCACCCATACCGCCTCATTATCTGTACACGGCGAATTGATCCGTTTTGACGGTGTCGGCATTGAATTGCACGTCCATACAGATGGAACCGTTGACGGTTTGTATACAACAAAATATAAGGACTTCAAACCGAAACAAATTTGCAGCAAAATGAATATAAAATTTATGCGCTTACGAACAAGTAAGATCTTCATTTAACCTTCCAGGCGGTGGGGGGCATTTTTTTGCCCCCCCCCCCCTTTAGTTTTTTCGATATATCTCGAGAACCGCTGCGCCGATCGTCACCAAACTTTCAGCACCCTCCCGGGAGTAGCTAGCGCACATGGTGACCAAAAATTTCTCCAAAGGCTATGATAGGTTGGCCGCTAATGACGTCAGAGTGACGTCATTTTTGCCATTTTCGACCCAAAAAAAGGTTTCGCGGGAAAAGCTCTCAGGTCTACAGCTTTAGAGATACAGAAAAATGTTCCGACATAAAAGGTGTTGAATCAAGAGGGCTACAAAACTGATATTTCGGTTTTTCGAATTTTTTGGATTTTGACCCCCAGAAATCAAAAACTAGATTTTTTGAATATAATAGCCGAAAAAATCCAAAAAGTTTTTTGAATTTCGAAAAAACCGGAATATATGTGATAGTCCCTACCCCCTTCTATCTACATACCAAATTTGAGATCAATACCTCTTTTTTTTTGGCCAAGTTATAGCGAAAAAACTGTTCAAAATTGATGACGTCAAATTTTCAAACTCGATTTTTAGCAATTCTAGACCTCGTAGCGCAAAACAAAGACCACCATTAGTTTCCCTGTGACGAGCTGCATCGATTCGATACCCATTTTATGCAAAAATATCAACTTTGAAATTTGACCTTTTTTGACCTGACCTTGACCTGACCTCCACCAGAAAGTGACCTAAACCGTACCTGATGGTCTTATAACCAATACCATTGAGTTGGAAATGAAAAACTGGCCATAAAACATGCATCGCACAACCTTAGTAAAGTTGGGTTCATGTGGTGACCCTTGGTGACCTTTGATGACCTGACCTGTGACCTGACCTGGTATGACCAGTGACCTCTAATAGCAACATATGTACTAGGCAACAGACGCCTTATCGCTGATTTTCGACAAAATGCGTTTTACTCGGTGTTATAGCGCTTTCCCTAGCAGCCCCGTGAACGGTGAAACATTTTATCTGTGACCTGACCTGTGACGTCATCGGTGACCCCGAGGTCAATGAAATTTGGTTTCCTTCGACAAATTTGACAGGGCTATCGAACGCCGTTTGAATTTTCCGGATCCGTCCAGTAGTTTCGGAGATACGGGGGGGGCAAAAAAATGCCCCCCCCCCCACCGCGCGGAAGGTGGCTGGGAGGCCCACCGCCTGCCGGGTTAAGCTATTCAAAAGTAACATTTATTGCGAAACACCCTGTATATTGAAGTAGGTACTATCCTGTTTCTCATATCGAGGCTGAGAAGTCGCCGGTGTCCGCTTTGCCTCGGGATCTGGGGCAAATACATAAGTTTTGCCAATATCTCCTGTTATATGTGAACGCCTTTAGAAATGAAATGTGGTTGAAATATTTAATAAGTATCATATTGGTTTAAGAACAACCTTTCCAAGTTTAAAAACGTAGCGTTGGTATCGAAGAAATTAGAAAGTGTTACCCCCTATCAGCTACCTATTTTCAAAGTGCTAGGGAATTGGTTGGTAGGTACTTGGTAGAATACCTATGCAATAGGGACAATGCATGTTGGTTACTTGGTTTTAATTTTATCATTTAAATACCATGTGGGTTTAACTGTTCGTACACACTGAGCAACAGAGTATAATTGGTAACACATCCATGAATTCGATTTTAAATTTTACCCAACTTACAATTTTCGGGCCAGCAGTCGAGATGCTGCAGGTGCCATTGAAAACAAGCTACGAATGCTTAGTAGCTTCACGATGCATACGATTGATTGAAACATCTCAGCTTATGTTATGACAGCTTATAACAGCTTATAACAGCTTATGTATGTTAGCTTATGTTATAACAGCTTATGTTGCAGTGAACAGCTAACCTGTTAGTGGTGGAAAACATTCGGACACGCTACCAACATATAAAAAAGAGCGATCTCAACTTTGGTCGCCAAATAATAAACACAAAAAAAAACGTTATGTAGTTATTTCCCATCACTCGGCACACGAAGTTCTTTTAAAAAACGATCATGCCTGAAGCCATGAACCTCGTAACGCTTAGTGCTCATAAAAGGTATCATTATCATCTTAGCTACACTCCAGGATCTTCCATTATAAACGGCGGCGAGACGGCGCCCTCTAATGGATCCGAGGCGCCGAGCATTGTTTATTTTCTGCTGTGTTCATGCTGGGCGCTCTTCCTCGGAGAAGAGAATCACTCTGAAGATGATTGGGGTGGCTGTGGCCGCTCCGTAGACCGGGATTTCCAGTCAGGGAGGTCGGTCAGACGTGCTTCTGCTAGCCGAGGGCCTCGTTACAGCCTTAGTCACAGTCTCGCTCATATACAACGCAGCCACAAGGTGATGGGGGCGGCTGTTGGTCCGCTGAGGTCTCTTCCGGTTAGCACTGCGCCCCGGATAGTTTATCGATGTTTTGTTGGAAATGGAATGCGGATGAGTGCGCAGGCTGCTCCACGGGTGGTCATTGCGTGCAACCAGTATCTTCCTGTAATTGACTGATAATACGTACGTAGCTGGCAGCTGCGTAAGTACCTAGGTTGCGGAGTCAAAATGTGTGCGTACATGGTGGGGATTTAATTTAGAAACCAAACACTCGCAATCTACTTTGTGCGCTGTTAATGCATTTGTTCGAAGAAGAGAAATGAAAATGAGGAGAGTCGTGCTTAAAACATGGATAAGCTAGCGAGAGTGGATAACTTTTATTTTTGCCTATGACTTGAAACTTAAAGTAATAAGAAAAAATCAAGAAAATGCACAGCACTTCAACATGCCTACCAGCATCACAATGGATTTCTCTCAACCAAACATCCCCACCCCGACTGAGTGGGCCCCACATTAATCGGCAGAACGTTGCACAACCCCACCAAAGCAGCTGTGAACAGGTCGCTGCCATTGTTTACCCTGGGCCCGACCGACCTGGCAGCGAGCCAGCCCGTCCCGTCAGCCCACGGGGGCAGCTTTATACCGAGGGAGGCCTTTCCTCGAAGCTCTTCGTGCCACGTCACCTGCGGTTTTGTCGTGCACGCGACGCTCGGCCCCGTCCGTGAGACGTGTTGCCCGCCGGGCGCTGTCGCTGAGTCGTTGTCTCGCGTGCAATGCTCAATGCTGCTCGTTGCTGAGCCCTGTCGACTGTCTGACCCGGTCGTCCCTGCACTGAAAACAGTTTAACCCAGGGCCGGCGAGTAAACCGGTGTTTTGCAGGTACCCCTATCCGCAACCATTTTTAACCACCCTCCCTGGAGTACAGTAAGGTCCCATTGCAGTGTAGTCGTCCCTGCTCTCAGCGGACTTGTTCGCTGACAGCGGTAATATCCGCTCAGAGCAAGTACGACTACACCGCAATGGGACCTAGCACTACTCCTGGGAGGGTGGTTAAAAATGGTTGCGGATAGGGGTACCCGTAAAACACCGGTTTACTCGCCAGCCTTGGGTTAAACTGTTTTCAGTGTGCTAATATTTGGCCATCAGCCAGTATGGTCATCATTAGCATGGGGTCAGTCATCTGCCAGCCAAGAAAGCGTAATGTTTAACCCTATCTGCCCGTAATCGTTCAAGAGTTTATCATGTTTGACCCATCTCAGTCACATGGCTTCCTAATATTCTGCTTGGGCACAGTGGCTCATTAATTCGCACATCAGGCTCATCAGTGTTCCCCCAGCCGCCCATGGGTCCGTCACGTTCTGTCTGTGTGCCCCCAGCCGGCCATGGGGTCCTTCACGTTCTGTCTGTGTTCCTCCCAGCCGGCCATGGGGTCGTCACGTTCTGTCTGTGTGTCCCCAGCCGGCCATGGGTTCGTCATGTCTGGGCTGAACGTGCCCCCGGCTCCCGAGTACGGCGCAACAGTCACCCTGGAGACCAACTACCGGCTCGGCCGCGGCGAGTACATCAGGAAGATGAAGTGGTACAAGGACGATGTCGTGTTCATGTCGTACGCTGAGCGCCCCAAGAAGTTCCTCAACTGGTCGCCCCTGCCCGGCGTCAACATCGATGTAAGAAACTGAGCCGTTTCCTCCCCGACCAGCCCTGAATTATTATTGAAGTGGTTCTTACGTACTTTTGAGCTTAGTGTGCTTAGCTGTAATTATCGTCGCTTTTCGGCTGGATGTGCCACATTTTCATCGCCTCTAAATAAGGATGCATCAGAAGTGTGTGACCTGCTGTTACGTAAAGGTTCCGCGAACACGCGATTCCAACACGACTTTTGCGCTGCAATGCGGCTCCCATGATTTGCAAACATAACATGTACGTCACTTCTGACGGCAATGCAATGGAAACACATGACCTTGCAATTCTATTCACTCCAATGTTCGCTGGTGTCTAAATATTTTGACAATCTATCCTTGTTTGTGCCAAGTGCATGCACACTACATTTCCTATAGTTGTTTACGGTAAACATTTAACGTAAGCCATTCTTGTGGGGATACTGGCTCATATCGCAAGCTCAACTGTATATGCTTAGATGGTCACTGGTCTTGTATATTGTATATGCACTGGCAACAACTTTCAACTGCATTGCATCGGGGCTGCATTTAGAGATTAGAGTCATGCGGAGCCCAGCTTACGTCCCGGTCTCCAGTCTGCACCTCTTTAGAGCTGCCATTTTTACGACTGCTCACACCCGGGCCTCTCTCCCGATAGGAGGCGGCTTCTACGCCGAGTGCTGTGGTGCTGACCGATGTCGGGGACGAGACGTCCGGCCAGTATACGCTAGAGGTGCAGGTGTACGGACCCGGCGGCAACGTGGCCAACATCGTCAACGGACAGTACATGAGCGTCGGAGGTGGGTGACGACTCAGATCAGCAACGGTTCAGACGTGATGACTTGGAAGGGATGATTTATGCGTTACGTTATTTTACATGGTTTTTGGTTGGACATTATTTTTTAGGCTCGTGATGTCTTTTGCTACTGAAGCACACTGCCAATTCATTCAGGTGCTCGTTCGTCCGTCACTAACGATTTGTGTTCCCGTAGTGACATCGTGTTGGCATTTCTCTCGTTCTCGCAGGAGCGGACACCCTGGGAACTCGGTTCGGCGGTAATGCAGGCGCCTTCAACCCGGGCACCTTCTTCCAGGGATTCGGGCCCGGATTCCCGTTCAACAACTTCCAGGGCACGTTCCAGAGCTCTTCCAGCACCGGTGACCTGGGTCCCGACTCGCTCGGCACGCGCACCTCGTTCCAGAGCTCGAGCTCCAGCGCCGGCGGCGCGGTGCCCGACACTCTGGGCACGCGCACCAATTTCCAGAGCGCCTCTGCCGGCGGCAACACCGCCTTCCAGAGCTCCGGGCCAGAGGGCTCCTTCCAGAGCGCCGGCACCAGCTTCCAGGGCACGGACGCTAACGGCAACTTCTTCCAGAGCAGCGTGTCCAGCGGCCCGGGCAGCGCCCAGAGCGTGCAGACGGCCTTCACCGGCAGCGGGGTCGGACCCCTGGGCGTGCGCTCCAGCTTCCAGAGTGCCTCCTCGACCGGAGACGTGGGCCCCGGCCCGGCTCTGGCAGTCCAGAGCGCCGTGGCCCAGGCGGAGGCGCAGGTTCAGCAGGCGGTCAACCAGATCAACCAGCTGCAGGCGGCGCTGGCCAACCTGGGCTAGACCAGCCGGGGATAGCTCGTCGGGGGAGTGTAGGAGATGTAAGGCTAGGAGCTTCCTTCCTCGAACAGATGAGTGCATAACCACCACAGCTGTGACGAAGTTGTCATTAGGTGGAATGCGGAAAGTACTGGAGGAGATGTGAACAGGAATCAGTGGATCTATGTGGAGTGCTGAGAAGAGGGCATCTGAGATAGCTATGTTATCTTTCATCAGCGATCAGAGAGTCATGCTCTGTCGTTTGCGGCATACTGGCCCTTCAGGTGCGTTGTGCCATTCATGAGAGGCTTTGGGTCTATCATGTACACTGCAATTAGTGGGGACTGATGACATGCATTGGTATACGCACTTCATCGGCGATTCCGCTGACTTTGCAGAAAATATACATACACGGAGTGACATATATCCGTGCCTTTGATGAAAATGCTTCAGCCACGCCACCTGGGTTATAGGGTTATAAGGGACAGCGCACTGGCGAGAGTTAAATGTCACCTTGCAAACACTACGACGCCTAAAAATGCGCATGAATACCTAAAATGACAAGGGAAGTCCTATGGAATACAAACGCACGATAAACGCCCCACTTATATTCATTCAAAATGAATTAGGAAAATGAGCAATGAGCATTTGCACCTGAAATCATGCAGCGCTGTCTCTCCCTACTCCTAGCCACAGCCTCTCCACTATCCCGCGGCTTCCGTGGATCCTTACAAACACACGTGCTGCAGCGCTAACAGGACGCTGACCGCTGGCGTGTCGTTGCGTCAGTTCGCTGTCCAGTGCGGTGACACGTCCGTACTGCCATGGTCGGCTGCGTGCATCAGATAACGCCGCTCCAAAGCCCGCCTTTGGTTCGCCTGGGGCTGATGAAACGGCCCACCACACCCCTGGCCGGCGGATGTCCCACGCCCGGTTGGGACGGGGTTTGTAAGCACTCTGGCGCTTCCGCTTATATTGTGAGGACGGAAGTTCGTAGAGCTGCCGATAGCACGTAGTAAATACATTCGTAGGTCGTGTGTGTTTCATCCTCGTACACGTTTAACGTGGAATTTTCCCCGTCTCTCGATTGTCGCTGGCTCCCGTGCCCATTTTCCCGTTTCATCGCGACACTTTCATTAGGCAAGTGTTATAAGTTCAACGTATGTTACAGTGGAAAAGGGTAACTGTTGCAACGAAAATGTGTAAACAATCGATGTTTTGCCAAAGTTATCACTTTTGCTGCCATGTAATGTCACGGGACAAGCTGCAGTGCCGAAGTGCAGAGTGGTGTTTTGAAACGGGAGAGAGAGAGAGAGAGAGAGAGAGAGAGAGAGAGAGAGAGAGAGAGAGAGAGAGAGAGAGAGAGAGAGAGAGAGAGAGAGAGAGAGAGAGAGAGAGAGAGGGAGAGAGAGAATGCCGAGAGCATACATTCATTTCCCGCTCCCTGCAGCTCTTTCCATCGCTGTCCATGAGTGGGAGTCGTCACAATGCCGCCAATCGCACCGGAAGCACTATAGAGGCGTCCCGTGTGTCCATTGTTGGCGGCATCCCCGCTACCACAGACCGGAACTAACGAGGATCCGGTAATAAAAAAAAAATGAACAAGCCCTAAGGTGATAAACACCGCTCAAGGGCACGGTCATGATGCATATCCGATGAGGCTGTTTATGTAAAATCCGCGGCGTTTCTTAGTAGGTAGGTATACGACGCCGGGCTATTCAGAAAGACGAATGCGAACGAAACAGACGATTTACTGCAAGCGGTCTAGTGATTAGGCAGGTGCTTATTGAACTTAAATAGCCTGGAACGCATTATGGACATGATTATGTCCAAGGCCATTATGCCTGTAGAGTGGGGTAGAAGCGCAAAGAATAATCCCCAATCGCGGCTGCAGTTCCACTGCATTTCTCCAGTTCCGAGTACGGTGCAACTCGCCAGTTCCAGAAGCTGTGACAAATCCAACACTAAAACCATCACTTCTATACTATAAGCCATGGAACAACCGTTCGTGGTCCACCACCGCATCATGAGTGATTGCCAATAGTGACAGGAGAGGAGAAACCACCTCTCAACCAGTTATTAGAGCCACGACTGGGAGCGCAGTTCTGACTTCTGACGCATCATTCTATCGGTTCTCTGTAAAGCAGACACCGCGGTGGCTGGCTCCGACAAATAGATTGTCATCGATCGCGGATTGTTCTATCTCGCAGACTGTCATGACTACTGAGGATAGTGGAAATCCCATTGGAGACTATTGGGTGCTGAGGGGGATTTTCCACATAATTTTGGTCTCGACGATTGACTGTCTGCCGCTCTTTTGGGGCAGGCGGCGCCGCAGTTAAACGTGGCTTTCTATCAGGTTAATAGGATTAATGTGGTAACTAACTACGCTCGTTAAGCGTGTCTCGCGAAAAAAATGTTCCCGACTGCCATGACGTTACCATGCACTGATAGGTCTTTACTTTTCGAGCCATTTGTTCGAACTACAAATTGGTTAATGTTCATGATTTGCTTTTAACGCATCTTACGTTCATCACGGTGCAGACAAAAACGCTCATCGTATTTCCTTTCTGCGCTAATCTATATAGTGTAGTCTCCCACCGAGTGCTTCGATCCGTGCGTCGATTAAATAATCATCGAATTGCAACAGTCGGTCCGGTACCCGGGTTCTTTCATCACGATTCACGACAAAGGTCAAAGCTTACGCAGATAGTTGCACAAATGCGAAAGGTCCTTTCAAAAACAGCAGCTCTCCGTTCAGTACGATAAGTGTTAAAGGGCACTCAATTGATTGTGCACAAAAAGTCGTGGAAAGGGCACCACTGATCGTAAGTGCGTCGACATCGATTTGCCTTTCATAAGCAAGAAACGGTTCAAAATGTCACCGCATATAGTGCATTGTGTCCGTGACTGAGGCGTCTACCCGTCTACCTGCACTGTGCAGCTTGAGCTCTGAAAAATTGAAATTTGGCTAGCACTGTTGCGCCATGCTTCTGAAAGAGGATAGGGAAAAGATGTCAAGATGTCAGATGGGGAAGAGGGTAAGATGAATGGCAGAGAGAGAGGCAGGGAGAGAGAGAGAGAGAGAGAGAGAGAGAGAGAGAGAGAGAGCTGGAGAGAAAAAAAAAAGAATAATAGAATGAATACAAAACGTTTATCTTGTGGAAAGCTCTCGCATTATGCACCACCACTGACCACCCGATGACGTAGCCGACAGCCAGCCCCGGCCCTTCACGGACACTCGCTGGCCCGGTTTCCGAGTCCCGTCAGAGGGGGCCGCTCCGTGTCCGATGGATGGCGTGACAGGGCGAGTGAAGGTCACGGTCTGACGATTCCCATCGCAGTCCACCGCCGGGCGCAAAAATCCGTCACGAGCACGTCAGTTACATTACACCAGAACGTTCATTGAAGTCCGGTACGGTTAAATGCCACCAGTGCAGTCGTACAAAAGTTCTTTGGTCACTTTTATCAGTCTGTCCTAGTTTTACTTTATCGACCTCAAAACCTCGACTACTATTTACGAGTACTCTCGTATGTTCTTTTTTACCTAAAGAAATAATAACACAAACAAATTAGAAAGACGCAATCGTTTTAGATATTTAAAGGCGTAAGGTGGATAGTTTGTATCCGATTCCTATTTTTCTATTTATGTTCTTGTTCGTTATAACATAATGAAGAAATCAAATAACACGAGCTCGATAGAAATACTTGTGAATTGAATTATTGGCAAAAGCTCAATATCCAAAACATCTTACACCACCTTTCAATAAGTCATCGTTCTCCAGCCTTCTTATCGATTTTGAGATTGATTTGAAGATTGAGAGGGTTCCGAATTTGGCTATGTATCGCTGATAAATTGTTTAAACTAAACATCACACATCCCGTCGCTTTACATGGTGTGCGTGGGAAACCTAAGATGTGACAATACGCTGTAATCGGGACGAAGCACTGGTTAAAGTCTTTGTTCGGGATATTTTGGAAAGCTTTGTTGATTGCGGGTCCTAAATAAGCGAAGCTACAGGTATTTCCATTACGCATTTTTAATTTCAGCCGCCGATAGGTCCTTCCGGAGTAATTCTTAACCCGGCACCGCCTGGGCTATTTCCGTACCCACGACAGCCTGGGGGGGGGGGGTCGGATCCGACCCCCCCCTGTTATCTCGAGAACCAATGGTCGTATCGAGCCTCGCGAGGCGGCGTTGGAAAGGTCTCTACGAGACCTTCCCAAAGCACTCTTAAGATTTTAAGATTGAGGTCAACTTTCGGGTCAAGGTCAGGTCAAAGGTCAAATTCAGGGGTTTTGCATGATTAGGCTTACGGACAGCGAAATCGATACCTGCTGCGCGAAACTCACCAAAAATGACCTCAAAGGCCTAGTGAAGGTACCATGTGCGTATAGGGGTCATACTAAGTACGGGTCAAGGTCAGGTCAGGTCACGAAAGGTCACGGTTTTCACTTTCTGCTACATGGGCGTGCGACACATGTTTTATGGCTTATTTTTCACGCCGAATCCGATGGTAATGGTTATATGTGACCCCAAGTCACTGTGCTGGTGATAGTGTGCATTGAAAGCATAAAAATCGTTTATACCATACATAACTAAACGAGGGCTAAGAAAAAAAGTCAATTTTTAAACTTTTTATTTTTGACATAAAAATGCACTTTTCTAGACGAGCTTTGTCCCAGGAATCTAGTGGTGCCATTTGTTGTCACATGCGATGTTCCGAAGTGCCTCTAATTCACGAAAATGCTTATGACGTCACCATGCCCTATGCATGTTGGAGCTATTTTTTACAATTTGGGGGTCAAAAATCAAGATAGAAAGTTGAAATTTGGGGCATCTAATGTTCTAATAGAGCTCTACAACATATATTTCGGTGTTTTGGAAATTCCCAAAATTTTGGATTTTATTATCTGTTTTCCAAAAAATATAGTTATTTGAATTTTTAGGGGTAAAAAACGCATTTTATGGAAAATCCGAGATAGCCATTTTAAAGAACTCGTTGAGCTGCGTCTTTTCATGTCCTTAATTTGCAATTTGCTTTAAACCTTGATTTTTGGCGATTTTTTAAACATTTACCACTTTTTGACTAAAAACGCCATGTAGTTACATCACTAAAATCGATATATCTAAAAAAAAATGGAAATTTTTTCTTAAAAATTGCTCAAGAGACGTCAAATTGATGGGGGAGAAGGTATGCCAAGTTTCAAGTAGATAGCGAAAGTGGTTCATGAGTTATTCAAGAAAAACGGAGGGGGGTCGGATCCGACCCCCCTCAGGCGGTCGCGGGTTAACCCTCGCACGACCAGGCCATTTCTCATAACACGAACGACCAGGGGGGGGGGGGGTTGTTACGACCCCCCCCTGGCGTTTCGAAACGGAAGGTCGTAGAGCTTAGCGGAAAAAACCAACGGATTGCTCTCAACGAGATCTCGCGATTGGTGGTATATTTTTTGGTCATAGGTCAACATTTGACCTACTTATGACCGGTCAAAGGTCAAATTTTCCGAAAAAATCAAACTTTTTCAACTTTCCGCGGCGATTGCGGCAAAACGGTGGGAGATATCGACTTGAAACCTTCACTATCGTGTTCCTTGATCAATTCTCTATCGTTTGGTATGTATTTCGTTTCCCTAGCTCTAAAAATGGCGCGTTGGGAGCGCCGGAAGTCGGCAAGGTCACAGTCGGCGGCAGAAATTCGAAAAATCAAAATTTAAATTTTTGAAATCTGATTGTATTTTTGGATTTGGGAGATCCATTTGCTCCCTATAGAAGCTAATATTGCTGCATATTCCCATTGAGGTGACAAGAATTAGCAAAATAGTGGTTCGGGCGCTTTTCAAAAATAGTACCGGACGCTGTTCCTCTTGTGACGTCATAGCTCCGTGACCTGACCTGACCCGATCAATTTTCTTGCACCACACGATAGCCAATGCTTGCCCCAACATGCATGGGAAGTTTCATCATGATCCATCAAACAATGTGGGTATCACCGGCAGAAAACCTAGGGATTCGGCGCACACGTTTGGTAACTGTCGGCCGGAGGCTGTACCTCTTATGACGTCATAACTCCGTGACCTGACATGACCCGATCAATTTTTTTCGGCAAAAGATGCGCAAAGGTTGCCCCAGAGGATATTGAAAATTTCAGCCCGCTACGACAAGCCGTTTAGCGTGCACTTCGAAAAACCTCAGGGGGGGGTTGATACAACCCCCCCCCCCCCTAGGCGTTCTAGGGTTAATATAGAAAGTTGACCTAGCCCGAGACACCAGTGACTCAGGGTCAATGAAATTAGGGTCCATTCGATGGTTGTTTTCCGGCGCTACCAAAGGCCGCTTGAATTTTGACCACCGCCCAGTAGCTTCAAAGGTTGGAAGGGCTGGCTGGAGCCCCCTCCTCTGCTCTGCAGAGCGCCATCCCACACTCACTTACGGTATGGAAAAAGGGGATCCTAGTCAGGTGCGTGTTAAAAAGCCAGTAGCCGTGCACCCTCGCGTGTTCAAAACATCATCCACAAGCACCCTTTATTCCTCCCTGATTATTCGCTGACACCATTTGCAACACATCATTAGAAGCACCGACAGACTTCCAACATAGCATTCACCCGACACAGCGTTCCCCGAGCGCAGCACATGCCCTCGGTGGCAGGTGCATGTGCTGCCATCTGAAACACAGGTACATAACTAGCGCTGCTCTCTACCGGCCGTAGGTAGCGCTCCGGTCGGGCCTGTTCCCTCGGCGGATGCTGCTGTCGCTGCCGCTCGGTGCACTGGCAGCTCCAATACTCCTCTGGATGAAGTCGAGGACGTGGACGGAGCTGGCAAACACGGCCGGAGGAGAGTCGGGCCTGCCACACTCCACCGACCAGGAGGTGATGCCGGCCAGAACGTACGAGCCGTCCACGAGACAGGCAAGCGGGCCGCCGCCGTCCCCCTGGAACACACAGGAGAGCGGCGTCACTCAATGTCACACACTGACTGATCAGCGGGAGGGGCTGGGAGGGAATCGAGAGCGAACGCAGGTGTGCTTACAATTTCAAGAAACTAGCGCAGCGGTAATGCTCGATGTCTAGAGGCCACATCCAGCAGACAGCATTTCAAGAAGGAGGCGATCAATGTAGCCCACGTTTTACGTGACAAGGTATCTGATTAAGTGAAAGGTATAGTTTTTGCAAGATATTCAATATGCGAGTCAGACTTCCTGACCCCGTCCCCATCGATCACCACCCTCACCTGACAGGCATTGATGCCACTTTCTCCTCCGGCACAGACGAAGCTCCGGTGGAGTCTGAAGAAGCTGCCCAGTCTGGTGGCCTTCAGACTGGACTCACACAGCTCGCTATTGACGACTGGAAGTTCTACCTTCTTCAGAATGGACGGAGCACCGGCTAAAAAGCACAAAATGGAGCATAAGAGCACAAAATAATTAAGACTGTATAAACATCATAAACGAAACAAAACGTCAATTCTAACGAATTGCACAGAGCACACTGATCAGTGGCGTATCCAGGGGGGAGGCCAAGAGGCCATGGCCTCCCCCTTTGGCATCAAACATGCAAGTGGGCCCTTTGGGTCACTTGAGTGCAGTGACGTACCCAAGGGGGGCCATGGGGGCCCTGAGGGGTGCCCTGGTTACCTGAGGGTCCCCTTGGTCACCTGAGGGGTCCCTGGTTATCTGAGGGGCCCTTGGTTATCTGTGAGGGCCCATGGTTATCTGAGGGGCCCCTGGTTATCTGAGGAGCCCCTGGTTATCTGAGGGGCCCCTGGTTATCTGAGGGGGCCTTGGTTGCCTGACTGGTCCCTGGTTATCTGAAGGACTCCTGGTTACCTGAGGGGCCCCTGGCTACGGGGCCCGACGGCCCTGGTTATCTGAGGGGCCCATGGCTATCTGAGGGGCTCATGGCTATCTGAGGGGCCCATGATTACCTGAGGGCCCCTGGTGTCCTGGGGGCCGCTGCTTACCTGAGGGGCCCCTGATTACCTAAGGGGCCCGTGATTGCCTGAGAGCCCCTGATTATCTGAAAGGCCTCTGGTTACCAGTGGGGCCTCTTGGTATATGAGGGCCCATGGTTATCTGAGGGGCCCTGGTTACCTGAGGGGCCCCTAGTTATCTAAGGGCCCCTAGCTACCTGAGGGGCCCCTGATCCCCTGGGTGACCCCTGACCAGTGATCTGAAGAAACCATGGTCACCTGAAGGGCCCATTTAACTGGGGAGTACCTGGTAATATGAAGGGCCGCTGCAGTCACATAAAGGCCCTTAGTTACCCGTGGAGCCCCTAGTATAACCGTCATCTGGTTATCAGAGGGTCCCCTGGTCACCTGGTGGGCCCCTGGTCAATTGAAAGACCCTTGGTCAATTGAAAGGCCCTGGTCACCTGAGAGGCCCCTGATTAGGTACCTGAACGGCCCGTGATCACTCGGATTCAATGGTATGGCCAGGGGCGAGGGGGCACGTGTCCAGTATAGGGTTTAGGGTGCCCTCGGACCCGAGAGGCCCTGCGGTGCCAATTGGCGGCAGAGGGCCCGCGCTGGCAACGCTTTAACTGAAAAGGAGACCACAGGGCTTGTGAGAACACCCCATGGGCTCTTGTGTAGCCACACTTATCTCCAGAAGGGCCTCACGCCAGGTTCTGAGTGACCTTGCCGGCCCTGAGGGCTCTTGCCGGCCAATAAGGGATCAGCTGTAAGGGCCCATACCCGTTTGCTATGGCCCCACGGCCCACACCGGTGTTTCTGAGGGCCCTCACAACGGCGCCTGCGAGGGCCTCCACTGCCACCTCTAAGGGCCCCACACCAGTGCCTACTTTTCGGCGGCTCTGAGAGCCCCCACACCGGCGCCTCCGAGGGCCCTAAGCAGCACAGCTGACGGTCACTTGCCAGTGACTCTGAGGGCCTCTCACCGACCTCTGAGGGTCCCTTGCCGGCCTATGAAGGGCCACCAGTAACTTTCAGGGCCCCACACATGCCAAAGTGATGGCCCCCACCAGTGTCTCTAAGCCCAAAGGCCCCCACAACGGCGCCTGTGAGGACCCCACACCAGCGCATCTGAGGGCCTTTCACCGACACCTCTGGGGGACTAGCACAGGTGACTGTGAGGCGCTCGCTCGCTTCACTTCCTCATAAAATACCGTGCATTTTATGCATACTTCTTGAGCAAAAATTATATTTTTACCTGCCAATTTTGCACATTTTCTCAGGGCTCAGACAGACAGACAGACAGACAGACAGACAGACAGACAGACAGACAGACAGACAGACAGACAGACAGACAGACAGACGGGCAGAGGGGCCCGTCTGCAAGGGGGACCGGACCCAATGTGCCCAATCTTCTCATCGAAAGGTTCTGGATATGCCCCTGCCTTGGTTGACAGCGGCATCCGGGTGGCCCGTGGGTCCCTTTGAGAGCAGGTGGCCCCCTCCTGGGCGAAATCCTGGGTACGTGCCTGCTTGAGTGTCCCAAGAGAAACGACCTTCAGGGCCTCATTTAAAGTACTGGCCCAAGCATAAATAAAGTCAAACTGCGTCAAACTATCTTAAAATGTCATTTGCTGGCCCTCATAGGCCCTCTGAGGCTAAGGCCGAGCCCCCAGAGGCTAGCGTGGGCCCTCAGAGGTCGCTTTGGCGGCCCTAAAGAAGCTTAGACTCGAGCGTGGGATCCTTTGACGCTGGTGTAGAGCCCCAAGGAGCCAGCGCTCAGCCCTCTAAGGCCAGCGTGGGGCCTTCTAAGGCCATTGTGGGGTCTCTAAGGCCAGTGTGGGGCCTTCTAAGGCCAGTATGGGACAGGGCCTCCTCTAAGGAATTTTCACTGGGGGGGGGGGGGGGGGGCAGAGGCTCAGAACCCAAACCTGGGGTACCCCCAAATCCGGTTTTCTCATCGGATTTAGGCCACTCATTTTTCGTCACAGCCCTAATGCCATTATTTTTATTTATATATTTATATATTTATTTATTTATTTATTTATCTATTTATTATTTTATTTATTTATATTATATATTTATTTATATTATTTTGAAAAAATAAAGAAATAGTAGGCCACCTGACCCTATACCGGTGGATCCGGACCGGCACGGGCAGGGTGACATTTGGGGTAAATATCCCCCGCAGCGTCCGAAATCGAAGAAAATTTCCGGCTTTCCGAAAATGAAATAAAATGCCTTTATTAAAAAAAAAGTATCAAACGGCACAGCAGTGCGTAAGGAATCTAACCGACTGCAGAAAGTGAGAGGTCTTAGGTATCGATTTCCCAAACGCTGGAAACCAACAGCTACCTGCCTAAAAACAGCTTACCATCCTAAAAAGCTACTTGCCTGAAAATGACTCAAGAAACAGGCCACAGGTCAATGAGAATGAGGGTCAGGGAACAGGGTAATTACATTTTCAGGAAATGTGTAGAATTGAAGTAATCACGAGGATACCTACTAAAACTTTTGCCACGCTGGGCCGCTTTTTATGCGAGTTATTCGCAAAAAAAAAAAACTAGGGGTGGGGTCTATCATACCCCTCAATAAGTGAGAGGGCTTATCGCCGCTAGCCCAAACACTGGAAAAAAAACTTTTATATCGTGCTATAAAGCTCAGCTGCACTCTAATTTGACCGTAGGAAAATTTCCTGTTCAAGAATAAACCCGTCTCCCGAAAAAACATAATACTTCTCCGTGTTGAACCATAAGCGCTTGACTGATTGAGACTATAGAGGGCGACCGTTCCAGTTGGGCTGTTTCCTTCTCAAAGTGATGCCCCGTTCGGGCTTCAGTCGGCGTTCGATTATAAAATCTGCATTGTCTGCCCTCATTCCGCGGCTCATCCGAGGCGGATCTGTAAAAGAAACCCTGTAGATAAGAAACCAGCGATATAAGGAAACTAAAATTAGTAACGTGGTGATCGGTTGAGATAATCTGGATTGTTTGTTTGGTAAGCTTATAGTGAAAGTTCCTCGTTTTTCTACGATATTTGCTTAACTGCGTGGCCCCCCCAGTGAAGCCATTTCAGCTCCACTGGGGGGGGGAAGCGGCATGACTGGGGGGGGGCCGCGGCCCCCCCAGTTAACATGTTAGAGGAGGCCCTGGTGTGGGACCCTCTATGTCTAGCATGGGGCCGTCTATGTCCAGCGTGGGATCTTTTAAGTTCAGCGACATGGGGCCTTCTTAGGTCAGACTGAGGCCCATTGGCCACCGATACTAGCTTGGGGCCCTCTGAAGACAATGTGAAGCCCTTTTAGGCCAGTGTAAGGCACTCTGTGACCAGCGTGAACCATCTGAGGCCAGCGTGGGACCATCTGTCATCTGACTTCAGACTTCAGAGTCTGGTACTGGGCCCTCAGAAGCCAGCGCGGGCCTTCATAGGCTGGTGTCGGGCCATTAGAGGCCACCTCGAGGGCCTTGGCAGCCACTTTTCAGGACTTATGCATGTTTTGGCCCCCTGAGGTAGGAGTGGCCCTTAAAGGCCGGCGTGGGACCCTCAGGGGGCATCATGGGCTTCTAGAGACCGGCGTGGGTTCGAGAGCGGCATAAGGTCGTCAGACTGACTCAAAGACTCCCAAGAGCCAGCGGGGGCCCTATGAGGTCAGCCATAGCATGGGTCTCCTGAGGCCATTATGGGACCCGGAGGCCAGCGAGGTTCACTCTGTTGCCGGTGTGGGGCTTTCAGAGGCCAGAATGAGCCTTCAGAGGTCGGAGTGAGGCCAATGTGGACTAGGGCCATCAGAGTCTAGATCAGAGCTCAACCAGAGTCGGGCCCTTCAAAGTTAAGGGTATCAGCCCTCAAACAGCACAAGCCACTAAGAGATTGACATCATCTGCCCTTTGAAAAATGTTACAATCGTAAAGAAATGACAAAACATTTGGTTTTGATAATCTTTAGTGGCCCTGGCGACGACCAAAGCAAAAAAAAAAAACTGTATGCCTACTGCTGAAATAAATCGTACACTACATGCAGAGCTATCGATACCAATGGCTTTTTTCACGTTTTTCTTTTCTTTTTTAGATTGCCGAGTGTGCCTAAAAAGGCTCCCTCATATGGGTGAAAAAGGCAAAGAACCGCACATGGGCGTGGGTTAAGTACGCCACTACTGGGGCCCCTAAGTAAGGGTGGGGCCCCTTGAGCAGGTTTGGCCTCCCCCTTTTCAAGATCCTGGATACGCCACTGACACTGATCCAAAATGCGATCAGCAAACGTCTCTTATCTAACTAGGATAACTTAGCGCTGGCCTAAAAGAGACGAACGAGTGATCGATAATGTTCGTAGCTTTTTTAGTTAACACTAAATAGCTAACAAATCCTACGAGACATCGATCGGTCGATCGATGTCGATTTACAATCGCTGCTGCTGCCTTTCCTCACCGTCAAAGCCCTGTTTGCCCCACCCGGACGCGACGCAGCGACGTCCGTTGAAGTTCTGCCCCGGTTTCGGTAGACAAATGGGCTGCACGTGGGAATCCAGCACCGCGGGGGAGGACAGCTCCATCACAGCCGCATCCTCGAACAGCGGGCCCTGGCGGAAACCTGACGGTGAGAGAGACGGAGTTTGGGTCTCATTGCAATCGTAGCCGTCAACTAGGGTGGCATAGTAGTTAGGTTAGAGATAGCAGGCGATTGATGACACGACGCATTTGAGTGGGTCAATTATAGCAGTCGTAATGTGTGTATTTCCGTGCTCAAAAGTAGATGATTTAATCAGCAAAAGAATTAGTGAGATCATTTCATAGCAATCTATTCACATTAGCAGCTCAGTTACGATATAATATCGGCAATATTTAAAATTTGCGTCAACACAGTGATCACTAATGGAACACGATGCCTCTATGACGTAAGATAACACGAAGTGACAGCAAAGGCTATAATTTTGTTTCAAATTTTAGTTTTGTCGACCCCGTCAGATCACACAAGGCTGACCTTCATTCATGTGTATGACGGCGACGTCGATGTCCTGGTAGGGCAGCGGCTCACTCTCAGAGAACAGCTGGTACTCGCCCAGTCGGACCAGTACCTCCGTCGGGCGGATACTGCAGGAGAAAACACGATCACATACAGACATAGAGAATTTTCATAGAAACACACCACACCAAATGGCACTCCCCCAGCCGGACCAGTACCTCCGTCGGGCGGATATTGCAGGAAAGAGACACCTGCACTGAGACAGACACATAATATATTTTGTTGGATCTACGGATAAACCTCAGCCGGATCGGCATCTGCGCCGTCTCCACCGATCTTATGCCGCTTTCATTCTTACAGACACGCAGTCAGGAAAGTCGAAAACGTACGCATCACTGCAAATCTGCATTGCATTACCTAGCCACATGTCCGGGCGTTCCTGAAGATGAGCGATGCCAAGCTACAAATATCTACCGGCTCCAACTTTGTCCATCTCAGCGATCGTGCCGTCTGTCCACATCCTATCACCCTCATCCGCCACGTGGGAGGGACCTTGTGACGCCCTTACTGTCACCCACGCCTCGCTGAGTCAGCTAAGCTACAGACAAGGTCGGCTCAGTCACAGATTCTCAGCTAACAGCCACTACCGAACTGGTAAGGCGCGATGGTGGGAAGGATGAATCACCTCTCGCAATTCCTCGCATTTTGTCGTCACAGCTGTGCGTCCTCTGTCCAGTCTTACAAGTTTTATGAATTTTACCGTAAAATACTTCGATAATGCCTTTTATCTGATCGATAATGATGACGTGCTACGTGATTGATTTATTGCAAGATGAAAGGGCGAACGTAGTTTTGGTTTGTTTTATGTCCTTTCTTCTAAGATTGTACTTACTCAATAAAACGTGGTCATTAATTGTGCAATAATCAAGGAAACGTGACTCATCTTCTGCAATAGGCACTTTATCGTGGCATTGCAGCATCTCTGCAATGAAAGTTAATACTGCTCATAAAACAGGAGACTTGCTCGCCCGATGTGACATCACCGATATACCACCTGTAATACCCTATTACTGCTAAAAAAGCTGTTTAAGGTCATGATGAATGGATATGCTTACGCTAGAATGATGGCTTTATTGCCGTGAGTGACGTAGAACTGTCCCCACAATCCAGGTCGGCAGTTCGCGTGACCTGTCTAGTGACATCTGACCAATTTGTGTTACGAATGCCTGTCTGAAAACGTCATATAAGATTGTAGTCAGCGGTCATGTGAGTGTGAATGAATCATGCCGTATGGAGTGACTGTAGAGTGAACCTGATCAGTGTGTGACTGGAGGGGTTGCCCGAGGCATTGTGTCAGTAGTACTGGGAAGAATGATGTGACGGGGAGCCAATGGGATGAATGATTGATGACGTGATATGACGTGATGCCCCTGTATAAATGTTGTGTGCGTTCGTGTACCGTTGAGTCGTCGTGGACCGCTAGACCTGAATAGAGTCTACCAAAGTGTTGCCCAGATCTTTCCTTCTACATCTTCTACAAGCTATTTCGGCGTTATCATGGACACACCGACAGAGACGGGCGCTGTGGTGCAGGGATCTGAGCAGGTCCGGATCGGAGCTGGACTCGATCCTCGCCTCATCGACGAGTACGACGGGAGCGGCGACGTCGTCGAATGGCACACGCAGGCGTCACTGCTCTGTGAGTACCGCGGTGTGTCGGCGGCGGAGGTGTTGCCCATGCGGCTGAAAGGTGGTGCTTTCGCCGTGTGGTCACAGCTGTCCGCGGTGGACCGCCGGTCAGCAACGGCGACACGAGACGCCTTGTTTAAGGCGTTCACCATGGACGACTTCGCGGCTCACACAGCATTCGTCGCACGTCGGCTAGAGCCGGGGGAGAGCGCTGATGTCTTCCTGGCGAGTCTGCGCCGCTATGCTGCACTGTTCGGCGGCGTGACGGACCGACAGCTGGTAGCTGCCTTCGTCAACGGTCTGCCGGCGTCCGTGGCGGACACAATCCGAGCAGGAACCAGGTCAGAGCAACTCAGTCTGGAGAGCACAGTCGCCCGCGCGCGGGCGGTGCTTGGTAATGACCAGACGCAAGCTGTGGCGGCGGTTCACAATGATCTGCAGCGGCGGCAGCGACCGAAGCGCCCACCTCGTCCCAGACGCTGCTGGACGTGTGGGACTGAGGGTCATCTCGCCGCGGCCTGCCCAAACGCCTCGGGGGACGTGTCAGCGCGAGCACTGTCCCCGGAGCAATAGATCGCGTCCTCCCTGTGATCCAGAGCAAGGTAGACGGTCGTGAGCGGCGTGTATTGGTGGACACTGGTTGCACAGACACGCTCGTGCACAAGGATTGTTGTGAGCAGTGGACACCGCGGACGGTGATGATGAGGACTGTGAACGGTGGGTCGTTGCGGTGTAGTGGGACGGCCAAAGTCACCATGGAGTGCCAAGGCAAACGAGTGACGCTCGCAGCCTTTGTTGTGCCTGATCGTCCATTGGGAGTGGACATGGTGCTGGGCATGTCGGGCATCACGGCCCTAGGTGGCATCAGCCTGAGGACGCCGACAGACGTGCGGATCTGTGCGGCGGCGGCGGCTGAGGTCGACCCCCAGGGGCTGGCGCTGGATGCAGCAGACTTCTCGGCCCGGTTCGAGGCACAAACTGGAGAGTGGACGGTGGCATGGAAGTGGGCAGATGGGGAAGGCCCGGAGTATCTGCACAACCAGGTCGCCCAGTATGCCGTGCCGCCGGAAGCTCGACCAGCATATGACGCCGAGCTGGAGCTGTGGATCCGGGAAGGATGGCTGCAGCCGTACGACGAGCGGGTGGATGGCCCAGTCCGAGGTTTAATTCCTCTGATGGCGGTCCCGCAGCCAAATCAGGACAAGGTGAGGCCTGTCCTGGACTACCGTGAGCTGAATGGTCACATAATCGCACACACTGCAGATGCGGACGTTTGCGCCGATCAGCTTCGTCGCTGGCGGCGGCATGGCGCTCGCATTGCTGTAGTGGACTTGCGGAAGGCGTACCTTCAGCTCCGGTTGGATCGGCGGCTGCGACCGTACCAGACGGTGGAGGTGCGAGGTCAGAGATACTGCCTGACTCGCATCGGATTCGGCCTGAGCATCGCACCGGCTGTCATGAAGGCCGTGGTACGAGCCGTCCTGCTCCAGGATGAAGTGGTGGCCCGAGGAGTGCTGCCTTATGTGGACGATCTCCTGGTGGACGAAGAAATCGTCAGCGCGGACCACGTGGTGGAGCACTTCGCCCGGTACGGCCTGGACAGGCTGGACTGCAAGCCGCCGGAGCGGGCGGCGGAGGGAGCACGGCTGCTCGGACTGCGGGTGAGTGCGGTCGCTGGAGAGCTGTGCTGGCGTCGTGACAACCCAGTGCCGGCGCCCCCGGAAGTGCTGACGCGTCGGGCTGTGTTTGCTTGGTGTGGTCAGCTGGTGTCCCATCTGCCAGTGGTGGGATGGCTGCGACCAGCGGCCGCGTGGCTCAAACGGCGCGTCAATGCTCTAACAGCAGGATGGGACGACCCAACAGAGGATGTGGGGCTGCGCGGGCAGGTCGATCATGTCGTGGCCCGACTGAACGACAGTGACCCGGCTCGAGGCCCATGGCGGCTGAAGGGGAACAAGTTGGTGGTCTGGACGGACGCTAGCTCTATCGCTGCCGGTGTCGTCCTGGAGGACCCCGAGGGTGGCGTCGTGGAGGATGCGAGCTGGCTGCGGCCTGAGTCGAAGGCGGCGATGCACATAAACATGGCTGAACTGGACGCGGCGCTCAGCGGCGTGAACATGGCGATCGCCTGGGGCATCACCATCATCGATCTCTGTACGGACTCGGCTACGGTCCACAAATGGATCGATGACGCCCTGACCGGCCGCTCGCGCCTGCGGACGAAGGCACACGGGGAGATGCTCATCCGCCGGAGGATCGACGTCATCCGTCAGCTGGTGGAGGAGTTCAACCTGAGGCTGACAGTCGTCCTGGTGAAGTCCGCAGACAACCTGGCGGATGCACTGACTCGTGTGCCAAAGGAGTGGCTCCAAACACCGGACCCAGAGCCTACCGCACGGCCGGTGGCTGCCGCAGCAATCGCGGACCCACGGCCGGATGTCGACCCCGCACGGATACGCGCAGTGCACGAGAGTACTGGACATCAGGGAGTCCGTCGGACCCTCTGGTACGTGCGGCGGAATGAAGACGCCCGTGCCACCCGGTCGGCAGTGCGCGCCGTGATCCAACAGTGTGATGTGTGCCAGTCCATTGACCCAGCACCGGTACGTTGGCAGCAAGGGTCACTGAGTGTGCCGCTGACGTGGGAACGGCTGGCGATCGACGTTACGCACTACCGGGAACGGTCCTATCTAACTGTTATTGATTGTGGACCATCCCGGTATGGAATTTGGCGACTACTGCGCCGGTCAGATGCGGCTGAGGTGACGAACCAGCTGGAAAACATCTTCCTGGAAAGAGGCGCGCCTGCAGAGCTTCTGCTGGACAACGCCACGGAGTTCCGCAGCCGCCGGATGGCGGCATTCGCCGCGCGGTGGGGCGTCCGGCTGCGCTTCCGGGCGGTGCACGAGGCGGGCGGCAACGGCATCGTCGAGCGCCACCATCGGACAGTCAAGGTGATTGCAGCCCGACAAGGCTGTACAATCGGGGAAGCAGTGCACCGCTATAACGCCACGCCTCGTGACGGGATGCATCCTAGCAGCGCTCCTGCAGCGGCTGTCTTCCAGCGCGCTGGCCACGACCTCCCACTGAACATCGATGAACCCGGCCGAGCGGTGTCCGAAGTGGACGATGGCATCCAGAGTGCACGCAAAGCGTTCCGGGTCGGTGACGCCGTGTGGATACGCCGCCGAGGTCAGCCGACGCGGTGCACGGACGTGTCGCGGCGGGACGTGGTGACCCGACTGTTACCGGCACCACTGGTGGAGGTGGATGGTGCCCCGTGGCATGTGCGCTGCGTCCGACGACGGTTTGAGGAGGTTGGCGACACAGACAGTATGAGTGACTGTGAGTCCGAACCTGAAGACTGCCTATCAGAGATCAGGACGCTGCGGCTGCACGAGAAGCCGTCTGGTTCGGTGTCGGGGACGGGACAGGACACTGACCCCCCGCCTCCCGAGCCGCCCGATACGGGAGCACCGGTGGAGACGAGTGAAGATGCAGCTGACGTTCCGAGTGAGACGTTCAGCGGTGCACGGGAGGACGCTCAGAGTGAGGTTACGGAAGCCCAACGAGAACGGAATGGCCAAACCGTACTGCGGCGTAGTACACGTGTGAGAACAGCCCCGGAAGAGCTGTATGGACAGAGTGTGCCAAGCGAATGTATTGATGTTGATGATGAATAATGATGATGATTACTGATAATCAGGTGGAGGTGTAGTCAGCGGTCATGTGAGTGTGAATGAATCATGCCGTATGGAGTGACTGTAGAGTGAACCTGATCAGTGTGTGACTGGAGGGGTTGCCCGAGGCATTGTGTCAGTAGTACTGGGAAGAATGATGTGACGGGGAGCCAATGGGATGAATGATTGATGACGTGATATGACGTGATGCCCCTGTATAAATGTTGTGTGCGTTCGTGTACCGTTGAGTCGTCGTGGACCGCTAGACCTGAATAGAGTCTACCAAAGTGTTGCCCAGATCTTTCCTTCTACATCTTCTACAAAGATAGCTGTCACAAATACTTTATAAGTAATTTGATGAATAAGTGCACTAATATTACAATATATAGGGGAGATCCGTGTAAGACGCCCAGGGTCGGTAAGAGGCCCCTTCGCTTTTTTTACCAAACCAATAATGTTATTTATTTTTTAATGTTCTTGTAAAGCAGAAGCCCTCTTGAAACAACAACTCACGAAACCTGAGGTATCAGGTGCGTCGCAGCGACTTTTGGTAAGCCTGTTTCTGTTTTTGCCCCTTTACTTGCTAGATATATGCATCTTTATCACCCTTATATATCTGAAAAAAACAATGACTATCAAATGCAATCTTATCTCATCGAAATTGTCACATGTTAGCTTCAGAATAGACCATGTTCTGGTGCGCTGCAAATGTCTCATAAACCATAAATATTGTGACGTTAAAACACTGCATTTTTTTAAGAGGCCCTCCCCTCGAGGATTATAAAACGCCCCCCCGATAAAAACGCCCCCGATGCTAAAACGCCTGCACCTGCGGCAGGCGTGGCATTCTTTTTTCAAGGAGTTTGTTTTTGTTTCTTTTTTCTGTTTCTTTTTCTAGAGGTAATAGGTACAATTTTCGTTGGTCATCAGCGTTTGGTTGTGCTAGTTTTCGCATTGTTCGAGCGCTTTGGAAGTGTTATTGGTTTCGATAACACCGTATTTGCTTAGCTTTTCGAAATAAAAGGCCTTGCAGCTGTGTTCGCAAAACGTCTTTTACAAGTCGACTTGCCTTGTTAAACGCCCGAGGGGGGGGGGGCGTCTTACCATACCCATAGTGTAAGAGGCCCTTTTGCAACTTTTTCCAAAATGTTAAAGTTTACGGTTTGTGTACCCCCTAGATTCATTTTGAATGCAAATATGTATGGGAAAATGATGCATGCTCACAGCGCATGCACACGTTAGCTCTTAAATATTATCAGTTGTCTAAAAATAGCAACTGAGCTTAAGGGGGGGCCTCCTGCACCACTCTCCCCTACAGCAATATCTTGCGAGTGGTTAGTGGCACCGCCAATGATGTGCTGTATAGCGCAAAAATGCAAGCCAAGTCGATCAAATTGAAGAGCTTTTGCTGAATGCGACAACATTTTGACGAACTGAGGCGAGGAATGCGCTGTTCTGATTCATGCAGTTACATGTCTGTCAGAGGTTTAACCCTCGCATGTGTGCGGCGTTTGCCAGCTTCTAATGTGTAGGGGGGGGGGGGGGGTCGGTTGGACCTCCCCCTTGCCGTTTGGCCCCTGATCGAGCTAGAGCTTCGCGGAAAAAACGAGCGTGTTGCCCGTGACGAGAGGAAGCCGATGATACCCAAATTTAAGGACCTAGGTCATTGGTTGACCTTCCAGGTCAGGTCAATGACCCAAAGTCGGGAAAATCGGGACCTATTAGAAAGTCGTAAAGTGTGGCTGCTAAGGGGTTTTTCGGGGTGCTGATCACGAATATCGTGTTAGTTTTGATCACAGATGATGTCTTTAAGCATTTAGACCAGGTCGGGTCAGGTCAGGTCAGGTCAACCAGTAGGGGCTGTGACGGGTATTCGTAGTACGTGTCAACCGCCTCTGACAGCTTCGTAACATGTTACAAAGGCATCAAAACTACTTCGTAAATGTTCAAATGGTTGCTAAATTCGAATTCAGCTCCAAAAACTAGCCTAGAAACATGTAAAACTCGAAAAAGTGAACCGAGGTCACCCGAGGTCACCAAAGGTCAATGACCTGACCTGACCTTCAGGTGACCTTGACACCCATTCTAATGCATGGGAGCAACATCAAATCACATGTTTGAACGTTTGAAACCACGAAAAGCTTGCAAACGCGCGGCTAATGCCAGCCGACATACGCGGAATCGCGATTCCGGCCAAACATGGTCTCGGAAAAGAGGTCACAGGTCAAAGGTCATTTGGGTCAGGGTCATGAAATTTTCAGGGTAGGTGTAAAATTAATCAATGAGAGGGTACTGAAAGTTTCGTCGCGATCGGCCGCTTTTTACGCGAGTTATTCGCGAAAAACCATGGGGGGGTCCATCCGACCCCCCCCCCCTACACATGCGAGGGTTAAAACTAATAAAACGACCCAACGCACGGTAATATTGCGTTGTTGGCAAACATACTTCCTTACCTATTTTCTATAAGAACAGTCTCCTCGGTCGCCGATACTGACTAAGTGATTAGCCCGCGCCCCACTGGGGGGGGGCTATTCATAGCCCCCCGCCTCCCGTTTTTCTGCAATAACTTCCAAACCGCTTGACGTATCAACGCCAAACTTTCAGTACCTTCGGCTGCATCAATTGGACACCTTGTAACAAAATATAAACTTCGTAGCTACCATTGGCCGGCCAGAAATGACGTCAGAGTGACGTCATGTTCGGCCGATTTCGACGCAAAACCTTGAACCACGGCAATCGCTCCCAAGAGCTCATTTTTAAGCTAGATCCAATTTCTTTGCATGAGAGGACTAAGAATAGACTGCGCTATCAAATTGCTTTCTCGGTTTTTCAAAATTTTTGAAAATTTTGAAAATTATATACAATAAAATTCGAAATTTTTATCTTTTTATTTTTCTCAAAAACTTTTTGACTTTTCGAAAAACGGAATATATGTGATAGAACACATGCTTATGATTTATTCTAGCAAGTTTTAGCTAAATATCTTAAAAAATGGCCAAGTTATGCGCATTATTGATTATTGCAAAAAATTCACAATTATAAATTTTTCAAATCATTTTTATAGTAAGTTTTTGACATCTTACACATATATAAAAAGCACCATCGTGTTTCTGAGCTTAAACTGCTTCCAATAGACACATTTTTTTGTTGAAAAATTTAACTTCAAAAATTGACCTTTTTTGACCTGAAAGTGACCTGACCTAAGCTAAATTCAACACAAAATGACCTGGAATGGCACAAAACGACGTACAATTCGAAATTTATGGCGTAAATGAACCATAAAACATGCGTCACGTGAACGACGCATGATATAATATTTCCGTGACCTGTGATGACCTGACCCTGACCTAAAATTCAAAGTACAAGTTGTACCCTCAGGGTACCAAAGTTGCATCTGTTCACGAGTGAAGTACTATCTGTTCACGAGTGTGTAACCAAAAGTGAACCTGATCTGACATGTAAGACGGCGGCCAGAGCCCAAAATGTGAACAAGCCAAAATGCTAATAATTTTTACTTTGACCTGACCTGTGACGTCATCGGTGACCTCGAGGTCAATGAAATTAGGTTTGGCTCGACAGTTTTTTTCCGGGGCTATCAGACGCCGTTTGAGTATTAACGATCGGCCCAGTAGTTTCGTAGGAGGGGGGGGGGGGGGGCTATGAAGAGGCCCCCCCCCCAGTGGGACGCATTATACGCAGACCCCAGTGGGGCGCGGGTTAGGAGAGGCAATGGGTGGCCGTCAATAGAAGGCAGTATCGTAGCAGGGCAATATTGCATGATGAACACGTCGAAGTCAAGCCAGTCGCCGGGTCCTGGTACTCACTAGGAGAGGCAGTGTGCGGCCGTCACCACGTGCCGCTCGCTGATGAGGGTGCCGCCACAGACGAAGGTTCCGTTCCTGTAGTAGATGACCGCCTGCCAGGGCAGCTCACCTGCCGAGAGAGACACGGAAGAACCACAAATTAACGATACGGGCTTAGCGACACCGACTCTTGATCGTGGCTTAACCCTCGCGGGCCCGGGGGGGGGGGGCGTTTTTCGCCCCCCTGGCGAGTATTTGCGATAGCTCCCGAACGCTTAGGGATAGGAAGGCGAAACTTTCAGTACCTTTTCTCCCATCAATTTGACATCTTCTGAAGTAAAAAATTTGGACCTAGCCCCCTTGATGACGTCACAAAGTCCATTTTTCTAGACCCCTGCACGGCAAACTTCGGCGTCACAGACGCAAACTTCAAATAGCTGCTAAAAATAGAGTTTTAGAGATAAAGACAAATTACGAGCACGGCTGTGTAGCGTTTGACCTAGAGAAAAATAAAAAAATAGTTTCGGTGACCTGAGGTCAGAGGTCAGGTCAACGACCCCGAAATGTAGTTTTAGTTTTTCGCAAATAACTTCGACAAAAATGGTCCTAGAGCTACGGCAGTGGTACCATCGCATTCGCCTTGTCAAGCCGCGTCGAATGATATATATTTTGTTCGGAAAAGGTCAAGTTTCATGTTGACCTCATGTGACCTCGAATGACCTCTGGTTGACCTTGACACATGAAAGGTCGTTTATGATGGATTTGTACCCGCTGATCACGAATCTGGCATCTATTTTCCTCTAAGCCTTCATTTAGAGCTTCCGGATGGCAAAATTGTCTTATTTATTATTACTAACTTGAATCAGTGAAATAGCCTCTAGCAGGGATACTCTTCTGTGACCTTGACCTTTGAGCAGCCTTGTATCGTAAGATGAACCACAAATAGGGAACTGATAAGCCTCAAAACATTTCAAAACATCTTGGAAGTTAGCACGCAAGATGTGCGAAAAAGTGCCAAGTTTGAGGTCAATTTTGAGCGTGAACTTGACCTTGACCTTTGATTTGGAGCACATTTTCAGAATCCTCAGATTCTCTTCTTTCGTTTGACACCCAATTTTGCCGGTTTGATGCAGCCTGCCGTCCTCTAGAAGGCTTACTTTGAGATCACTACACATGTGCCGGTTTTGGCCTTTGACCTTGACCTCTGACCTTGAAAATTGACCTGAGGTCAAAAATTTTAGGTGCATTAGAATCGTCTCGTAATGACCTTTCGTTTGGTATCGCTTTTGTTTCCGTAGCTCCCTTATTAACGGAGTTAGACGGGGGGGGGGGGCGAAAAACGCCCCCCCCCGGGCTGCGGTGGTTGGGATTACCCCCGGGCCCGGCCGGGTTAACGACACCGAATCTTGGTCATGGTAGAACAATAACATGACAGACACGGGACTTTGTAGAAGAGTAACCAAGGAGCTGGAATGAAGGAGACTGCAACGCGAAAATGAGCCTAGCACTGTGAGATCTGGAAACTGCGATGCGAAACAAGAG